GGCTGGGACAGCGCTCCGGGACCAGCCAGGACACGGCTCCTGCGGGATTCAGCTCCAGGGGCTGCCCCAGGGGGGATGCCTCAGGTTCAGACCCTCAATCAATGGGTTTGGGGGGGACTTTGCTCGTGTTGTCCTGCACCCCTCGAGGAACCCCAAACCCCGAGGGCCCGGGGGAGCACCCACAGGGATGGCTGGAAGGTGAAGGGGTTAGGGATCATCCGTGGGTGCTCCCAATCCAGGGGCAGAGCCGTGGGGATGTTGGCACCAAACCCCCATGGAATTGGGGGGATATGGGGGGGTTGTGCTGCTGGAGGGATCCACGGTGAATAACTCCCCCCTAGACTTGTCAGATTGCTCCGGGGGCAAAGGAAAGGGAAAGGAAAGGGAAATAGGGGGAAAGGAAGGGGGAAAGGGAATGGAAAAAGAAAGGGGGAAAAAAAGAAAATGAAACAGGAAAAAAAAAGGGAGTAAAGGAGGAAGGTTAGGTTAGGTTAGGTTAGGTTAGGTTAGGTTAGATTAGGTTAGGTTAGGTTAGGTTAGGTTAGGTTAGGGGAGGGAACGGAAGGGAAGGGAAGGAAAGAGAAGGGAAGGGGAGGCAAGGAAAGAGAAGGGAAGGGGAGGGAAGGACAACAGTGCTTAGGAATGGGCATGGATGCATGGGAATGGGCACAGATGTGTGAGAATGGGCACAGATACTTGGGAATGAACATGGAAGCTTCATGGCCTGCTCTCAGTTCAGCCTCAATCTCCCGCCTCTCCAGCTGGAATCAAAAGAGGCAAATCCCAAAAGCAGAGATTCCCAGGCAATCCAATCCCTGGACAAAGAGCCACTACATCCCTTGCACTTTTGGGATCTGTAGGGTCAGGACATAACCCTTGATGTTTCCTCACTTCTTTTAGCAAACCAGCTTTAAGGAAACTGTGCCTGTTTTCCAGCATCTCCCAAAGAGCTGGAGAACAGGAGAAGGGTGAACTCCGACAGCGGTTGCTGATGCTTCCAATTAAAACACACCAGCCTGAACATGAGCAAACCTTGGGGAAGGATTATCCATGCCCTAAGAGGTGGTTTTCATATATCTCTAATTACATGGTTTCCTTGCTGAGGTTTGGAATGTGCTGGGCAGTGAGGTCGGGCTCTCCATCCATAAACTCGGCTCCACATGGGCCTGGTGTTGTGGTGGAG